TTTATGACATCAAATATTATTTATTTATTTTGCAAATCAAAACTTAACATTTTAAAATTCTCATGTTTTGTATTGTGCCCGCAATATATTAATGGTATTAACCACTGTAAATATGATATACAATTTAAAATTTTTAATACATTAGTACATTACATTTGCACTCAAAAGTTCAGGAAGTGAGTTTCTAGAAAGGATGAAAACTCCATTTTATGTAGGGTATGTAAAACGTAATTGTTGTTTACTGTTTATTTTGTATTCAGGTATGGGGAATTTAAGCGATGAGAGTTGGAAAACTTGCAAATGTAGTCTGACTTGTCTCTTTGACGTTCTAACAGAAGGTTCTTCCATTCATGATTTAAATGTGAAACTTAACCTTGTTGCTCAAGATCTCTCAACATGGACTCAACAAAACCGAATGGTGACTAATACATTGAAAACCAAGACCATGCTCATTCATTCTCCCCAACAACTTAAGAATACTTCAGACCGTTCTCTATCAGTTATTCTTAATGGCAACATACTTGCACAGGTGAAGCAAGCAAAAGTGTTGGGTTTAACGCTTGACGAGTTTTTAATTTGGACCAAGCATATTGACAACTTGTGTTCAACAATCAATAGTAGACTTGCTTTATTACGCAGGATTAAACCCTTTTTAACTAAGGACTGTGCTCTTCGTTTCTATAACTCCTGTATTAATTCGAGTCTTATCTACTGCTCTGTAACTTGGGGAAACTGCTCAAAAACACTTTTACTTCGCATTCTTCGACTGCAAAAGCGTGCAGCACGTATTATTCTAGACGCTGACTTTTCTACTCCTTCTGTTCTTCTTTTTTCCCAGATTCTAATAATCCCAATTTTTGATCTTGTTAAATTTAGGAAGCTTCTCTAACTAATTAACATTCTCACAAATCCCAGTGCTCCATCTTCATTTAAGCAAATGTTTAAATTCTTATCTTCTATTCGACAACGGGCTCTGACTAGCGTTTGCGCATATGACCTTCAACCCCCCTTCCCGCGTACTGACTCTGGTAAACGAACATTTCTGTACAGTGCTTCCATTCTTTTTAATTGCTTAGATAGCGATTGTAAGCAACTTGCTGCTTCGCCATCTTGCTCTTCATATACTAACGCCAAACAAAAATTCGTAAAATCTTTCTTAACAAGCTTACCCTTACTAACCATATCGAAGATCTATTTTGTATAAATTGTAAATATTTACTAAATTGTAATTGTATTCATTACTAATTATTTTTTTCTCAAATGTAAATAGTCGTAATCCTTAATACTTTTTTATGCCTGTAAATATCAAAATAGTGCGAGGGCCGTATGTTAGATAACTTTTACGGTTAATACGTTTTCCCTCGTGAAATAAAGATTCTATTCTATTCTATTCTATTCTATTCTATTTGACGTCATCATGCAACTATTTAATATTGTGCTACATTCATTATTCAATTTATTCACAGCAATTAGCCTTCTATAAACCATACAAATGATTATTGCTTGTAGCCCACCTTGCCTTTAACATTGATCCTATCTAATGAATTAATATAACTAACTTGATTATGTTGCTAGTCGAGTATGGGACCTATGGGTCTTTTATATCAACACGAGTGGAAATTGGGAAAACGAGAAATTAATTGTGTGGAAACACGACGCCCGAAAAAATTTAGCATATAGAAATATAAAGAAAGAAATTTTCCGACATTTCTGTGTTGACATTGAGTTATATCAACACGGCTCTTAGCCAATCAGCATTCAGAATTTACAAATGCTATATTATAAAATCTGTTATCAAACTTATGTCACAGAAGTGGTAAAGGACATATGTGACAACTGAATGATACCTTTTGTAAATGTTTTGGCCAGGGGTGGGTATTTATTTTTTAATTGATATTTGAGGTTGGGTAATTAATTTTTTTTACTTTTTAATGGTTGGGTCGGCAAAATTTTTGCCTCGAAAAACATTTCTCTTCGGTGCCACCCCCCGCCTTAAATAATGACCGGTCCCTAAGTTTCAATCTCTTCTGTTCATTCATTTCGGCTTCATTCTCATTCTGTGCAAATTTTCTGTTAATATAGTTCCTTTTTTGAATATTTTTAAGTCTTTCTGGATAATCTTGGTTATACATTCTACTTGATATTTTTGACGATTCTCTTACTTTTCTCGATGTTTGATTGTCTGTATGTTACAGTGGACTTTTTAGAAGAATCTTTAATTTTTTTAGGATTTGATTTTCTATATGTGATTTTTGTTTGTTTTACCTTATCAGGATTTGATTGTGTGTATGTTGCAGTGGCCTTCTTAAAGGAATCTTTAGTCTTTTCAGGATTTGATTCTCTATATTTGATTTTTGTTTGTTTCTCCTTGTCAGGATTTGATTGTCTGTATGTCACAGCGGCCTTTTTAAGCAATTCTTTAACTTTTTCTGGATTTGCTGTTCTGTAATTTTTATTATATGTTTTCTTTCTTTCATTTTCCTTTTTTTTTAAATTTTCATCCTTTCTTGTTTTCATCATGTATTCTCTCATATAGCTTTTTCTACTTTTAGTTTGTAAATTTTGCGAGTTTGGTTTTGGCTGCAGCTTATTTGCTTTCCCATTTTCCACTTGTCGAGAAACAGATTGTGCAGTGGGTGTTGTTGACGCATAGTGTAGTTCATCAAGATGTCTGATATAAATATCTGTTACGTTTTCGCCAGACTCAACATAAACAGAGCTTACAACGGTTGGTTCACAAAAATTTGGTGCACTTTCAGTTATATGAATTCTCAAACTGGTCGCATTCGCAACTGCTTGTATAATAATATGGTCTGCCCATGTTCCTAGCATTGACATGTCCTGTAGATATTGTACCCACGATTGCTGTGTATTACTTTCTATGAAATGTTCTGGGCAGTTTATTAAATGTTGGATTGCGAGAGCTCTAATTTGTGCATGACGATCTTCAGTTTGATAAAGTTGATAACTTACACTACGAAAGAAACAATTACCATCACCTGCAATGTTTACTGGCTGTAGTCCTATTCTAGCTAGTCTAGCTGTTAGAACTGACATTGAAGTATTCATAACAGGACCTGGGTTCGATTCAAAATCCCCACATAAGAGTAATGAATATCTGTCGTAGGTCTGCGTGCTGCCTTGTTTACAATATTTACAATTTATGTTGTTTTTATCACAATTAGATGGCTTACAATATTGGGGCCATGTATTGATTTGTCGCTGGAAAACGTATTTCCTGAATGTTATACTGGGCAAATTATGCCAGAAAGATGATATGGGAATTGGGTGCTTTATTAACAAATTTAGCCTACGTCTGCGCTTTTTAGTATTTTTCCTCATCAGATTAACAATTTTTTTAATGGGCATTCTAGATGCTCCATGATGGCGATCTTTGACATTCAGTTCTTGTAAACGTTTTAGAATTCGTGATCCACATCGAACAATACTATGAGATACAATACAATCTCTGTTTTGTTTTAAGGGTAATGCATTTATAGGTGCAATGTGGGAATCAAGTTTATTTGTTTTTGTATTGAAATTGTGACATGTTTCTAACAGGGTAGTGTTGCATGTAACAACGTTGACTGAATTTATAATTTCATAAAAGGTATTTAATGGCTTATGACAAGTCATCCCAAGTTTTGTTTTAGTTATTGATAATTTATCATAATTTTCCAATAGTTTCCCATAAGTTCGAATAAATAGTTCACGATTTTGCACCATTGTGCTAGACCCATGAACAAGGTCTGCAGCGATAGGGCGCAGCCTACCTCCTTGCCTTTGAGCATCCAAAATGCGAGCCTGACAAGTCAAGACTGTGGCGATAGCTCACAGGCTATCTGCTAGTCTTTTGCTTTCCAAAAAAGCTCCCCGACTAGTCAAGTGATTCCCGGCAATGTCACAGACTATGGAGTCCATTTTAACCAATGAAATTAATTAACTTTATAGCTGTGTCAACAAGAATTTGGGCTCTAAAATTTCCTGTCTATTATTCAAGGTCCATTACTCATGCTTGCATTAACATGCGATCAGGCCTATAAATAAATAAATAGGCCTGCTTAACAAAAATCCATGCCGTACAACCGTATTTCGATTGTAAATCTGATTGGGTCTATGAGACAAAAGACCTTTTAATCTGTCATTTGATTGATTGGTACTAATTAGATTATACTATTGTTGTTAATATATTTTAAGTAATCACAACTATAATTAGATTGTTGTTGTCGTTGTGTGAAATTTGAATTTATCCTGCGACAGTTTTTGATTGGATACTAAATATAAACTTTGCTGTGGGTGGAAAGCGATCGGATTTATAAGGATTGTGTCAGGCTATTATTTGTAAAATAGTCAAATAGAGCCTGATACTCACGTTATGCTTGCATGTGTCAATCCAGCTCAAAATTGTGTTAATTGCAAGTTGCAACTTGGAAGCTCTATGGGAGACATATTGGGCTTTTTGAAGACATGAAGGCATGACAAAGGTTGTCGTGTAGTTTCACAGCATAATATATTTATGCATGGCGATTGCATGTTATCTCCTAGAATTTCTGTTTTCAAAAAAAATTTTCGCCAATCTCACAAACTATATACAGAGTCCATTTCCAAGCAATAAAATGAATACATTTAGAATTGTATCAACAACGAGTATGACTAATTAATACGGATGTACCAATGTACCCAGGGTCTAATGTATATAGTATTTTTAACATTTCGCGTCTATTCAGGGGCGGACATTAGAAAGGTGATGGGGGGGGGGGGGGGGGGGGGCGGGAACATTTTTAACTTGTACAAATATTTTTTTTAAATTTTTTGCTTGTGTCGACAATTTTTTTTACAATATAATCCCTTGTAAAAAATTGGTTGCAAAATATTGTAAAATACGGAAAATATATCCTTGCAAAGTTTGCGTATTTGCAGTATGTTTGTATTACGTGTGGAAATTGTTACCATTTTTGAGCCGAAAATGGTAACAATTTCCGCACGTAATACAAATATACTGAAAATATGTAAATTTCGCAAGGATATATTTTCTGTATTTTACAACATTTCGCAACTAAATTTTGCAATTTTAATAATTTCATTATTTTCTTTTTAACTGTTGTGTTTGATTCCCTTCTCTTTACTTAGATTAAAATTTAGTCTAACATGCAAGTTATCCATTGGTGTACGAATTTTTTCTTTCTGTTTCGCCTGCACGATTTTTTCCTCCCCCCTCCTCCGCCCAACACTTTTCTAATGGTTCGTCCCTTATACACGGAGAGATTGGCATGTGTCAGTTGAACCTGTGATCGGACCAGCGTTTCCACTTGGAAGTAAATTTCCTTCCAGAAGGAAATTTGGAAGGAAATAGCATTTGGAAGGAAATTGGGAGGAAATATTGTTATAAAGAGGAAATGAGAAGGAAATTCTATTTTATCTTATAATTTCCAAGAATAAGACAATTTTCATACAATTTTGTGCAAAAGAAGACTCTGAAAATGCCATTTCCAACGATCTAGAGACTCCATATTTTCAAAATTTTCCGCTCAGCGCTAAGTATGGCGGCGCCTCGTGGGTCCCCCAAAGCAAGATCTCATGGATGTTGTTTTTCCAAAGTTGACAACTATGTATCTAGGACAGGACCCCAGAATTGCTATATTGAAATAACAACCAAACCTCGTACCCTGGGCATTATTTCTCAGACTCTACTTAGCGTGGGCAGGAAAGACCCTAGGGGCTTCTTGTGTGTGTGTCCAGAGGGAGAGATGCAAGAGACAGTTATGGAATCTTTTTTCGCACCCACAGCAAGTAGCCCCCAATTATTATGCTTTTTGTCTCCCCGGGGCAAAGATGAGCTGATTTTAACCTACAAAATACAGAGTTATCTGCTATAAATTAGTATAATGTGTTTCAATACTAGAGTTTAGATGTTAGTTACCAGGTAAATCTGTCAATTTTAATAAAAATTTTGAAGGAAAAATGGAAGGATATTTAGAGATTTTTGGAAGGAAATTTTGTGTGAAAAAAGGAAATTTCGGGTTATGGAGAAGGAAATTATTTTTTGGGGAGTGGAAACACTGGATCGAACTCAAAAGTATGGGAGGGGCAAAAGCATAGATCTATTTGAAGACATGACAAAGTTTTCAGTTGCCACATTTGCCACATCCATAGAAGTTTATAATATACCAGTACACAGAAGTAGAGTCGAAAACTTTTAGAGAGCACAATGTCGAAATCAGCGAAAAATAAAACCACTTCAAAAGTCGGTCAAGAATTGGCAAGGGATAAACAACGTAAGAGAGCAATTGAATTTACATGTGATAGTCGTTCAGTTTCAGACCGTCGAGGACAGCTTGGACGAGAGGGCGTGGTGGGATATATTCAGAGCATATCCCCACCAAAACAGAGTCGAAAGAATACAGAGTACAGTAATTTCAAGCTGCAGGCTAAAAGTGGTCTTGTACCGGGAGTATGTTTCTCGTCGACAAAACGCAGCATCTTGGCAGAGCGCGAAGCCACAAAAACAGCGGTAAAGTTGGATCGTTTCAACTACGCGTCGGATGGGAAAACAATCTTTGTCAATGATATGACAAAGATATCTGCCAAATTCATCCGACTACGACTTTCAGTTCGTCGACAGCGGTATCCAGCAAAAAGATCTACAATCTATCATCCAAAATTCGATGGACATGGACTTGGTAGACTTCGTCGCAAAAGTAATTGCAAAAGACGCAGTCGTACAAGTAGTTGGTTCGTCGCAGCTACGAAAAGTGGAGTGTTTCGTGGCGGACAAATCTTGCAAACAGGCAAAACTCATTCTTTACTCATTCCTATCGATAGATTTAGTGAATGGCAACATTATAGCGATTTATGAGCTTTGAAAGTCAAACGAGCTCGTATATGGTCAAATTACGCAATATTACTGACAAATTATAAACATAAACATACCTTTCGCCGAATATAACTTCGTTCCATTGAGACGTATGCTCATTCTGATCGTCTTGGTGGATTAAGAAGTTAAAAATAACATGTATAGTGTTATTTTCAAGCTTCTATCTTTAAAATTCGACATTTAGTGCCGAATTTTGTATTTCTGCTCCGAATATGCGTTAATCCCAACCGGAAATACGACGAAAAACCGTCAAAACAATGCTACGCTTGCATCGCGTGACTCTGGAAATGCCAGAAATGGATTCTACAGGTCAAAGTGCACCCATACGTGTGAGTTTTACGTCATCCCGGCTAAAGGGAGCTCCTTATTGGCCAAGTATTACGTAATACAAGCGCGTGCTAGTAAAACCCGATACTTTAAAAATTCAAAATAAATATTTCTAGTCGGCGTATACATACGAAACTTTCTACACGAAAGCGCTTGAATACAAAGAGTATTTTACATATATCCTTTCAGGAAATGACACCAAAGTTTAGAATATATTCAACTTTTTCTCATTTTCTTCTTTGAATGTTTGGCGAAGCGGTGAGTATAAAATATATGATTGTTTCGGTTTGTGTAATGTTTTGACGGCACTTGACCCCCCGTTCGAAAGGTTATATTGTGAGGATTTCATTGGTGGCATTTATTTAAAAGGGGGGTAAATACTCGCCGACATATTTATATTAGAAAAATTGAATTCGAAATGTAATACGAAACAGATTGTCGAGAAAGAGTTAAGGAAATGTTTGGGCCAAGTGTTGCATACAACTCCTGCATGGCCACCAAATTTAAAAATTAAACTTCAAACGTTGACTAGTCGCAATGAAAATCCAATCGAAAGCCTGTACTCGACATCAACTATACTTTTTCATTCATACTTTATTTGATAATGCAGGTTAATTACATCTGTCAACCAAAAGCTGATGTGGACCTGAAAAGCTGATGTGGGCCTTCGCTGACTTCAGAATGACATTTCGTCAAAACTTTTTTCTTCAAGATTGGTTTAGAAACAAATTTGGAGTAGGGTTAGGTTAGGTTAGGTTAGGTTAGGGTAAGGATTAGAGTTGGTGTTTGGAGTAGGGTTAGTGTTAGTAAAACCGTCCCTTTGTTACGTTTTGCCACTCTGAGGCCAGCGAAATAACCTCTTCCCCTGTACTCATGTACGCCATGTTAATCATGTTGTTACTTCTCTGCTGCAATTTCAACTAAAATTTAAGAACCTGATACGCTAACTTTTTGCATATAAGAACCTGCTAAAATTTTCTACTTTTTTAAATAAAGTCAAAACCAAAAATTATAAATCAAAGATAAGCTGCCATTCTTTATTTATATGACTAATTTGTGCATAATTTAATTGTATAAATTATTTATAGATAGATGGGAACTATATTAGTCATTAGAATGTACAGCACGTAATTACAGCAAATATAAGTAGGGCCCCATATTTACCACACCTTCGGAAAATGATTTGGGTTTTTTCTTAATAAAATGTGAATCTAAACCTGGAAAAACCTTGGGTCTCATATACGCGGGGTTTTACTATAGTCTATATAATAAAATTTACCTTGGACAATGAGAAAGGTTTTGCAATGAGAAAGGTTTTGCTATCAGACATTGCCTCAAGCGATGATCTAACTCTTGCATTTTTTCATATAGCAGTAAAGGATCGCCTGGAAAGAGAAGCATTGAAAATCCATTCCAAATGTTGGCATGTGTTCTTTGTTTAAGCCGTAACAAAATTTAGAAATGGTCTATTTGCCCTTGATATTGATGCCCTCAACACAAGCTTTGCTTATGCATGCACATTTAATTTGTTTGCGAAGCATTCATGTACAAAAAGACATACCATTTATTTCATCTTTCTTTAAAATTTTGTTTCGCAGATACACACTTTTCTTCTGAAGTTCAGTATTATAAACACGTTCTCCCCTCAGACTTGGCGCAATTATTGGTGGTACTTTTGATGCTTCTACTTCACATTTAATTTGTTTGCAAAGCATTCATGTACAAAAAGACATACCATTTATTTCATCTTTCTTTAAAATTTTGTTTCGCAGATACACACTTTTCTTCTGAAGTTCAGTATTATAAACACGTTCTCCCCTCAGACTTGGCGCAATTATTGGTGGTACTTTTGATGCTTCTACTTCACATTTAATTTGTTTGCAAAGCATTCATGTACAAAAAGACATACCATTTATTTCATCTTTCTTTAAAATTTTGTTTCCCAGATATACACTTTTCTTCTGAAGTTCAGTATTATAAACACGTTCTCCCCTCAGACTTGGCGCAATTATTGGTGGTACTTTTGATGCTTCTACTTTTGGTGTAAGATTTGAAGATGTAAAGATGATCTTCTCAATACATATATCTTTCAGACTGGAAATAAAGTCCTCAAGAGTCGTCGGCATACTTAGATGATCATCACTTTTATCATCTTCATACTTTATCTATATATATAAATAACAAGACACTCGTTTGAGGGCAAAGTGCCTGCTTGGTGCTATATGGCCCTTTTACAGTTGGTTATCTATTGTATTGTTTCAGTTGCCAATCTTATAGAAATATTTTGTCGAAACATTTATTTGTAGTCTCATCAATAAAATGTTTCGACCAAAAGATATCAGAAGGGAAGTGCAACAATTAGTTACCTTTAGACACTATAAAAAAGGAAACTTTTGCCGAATATTTTAAGTCATTTTGTAAAAAGCCACCGCAAATTGCACAATCAATTGGGACCAATTGGCAGATCAAAATTGCAATGTTGTTTGGCAGCACTTTTGTGTAAGTACCTATACAGATCCAACAACAATTCAAGCCAAAACCCGCAGTCGCAGGACACATGTGCTTTAATATTAAAAGGAATCATGATTATAAAATGATTGCAAACCAGAGTAACGTTTTACAATAAACATGGCAAACAAAACATTTTTTAATAATGAACTTACCGCATCAACACTACAGCAGTTCTTTTCGTTTCCATCTCCAAAATACACTTGACTGACAGTCCCACAAATTCCACATATGACGTCAGCTAATGATCTCTCGGACAGCATTTCAAAGGCATAAAAACCGTTGTAAAGCAAGCTGGTAAGGTACTTTATTTGATTTTCATCAAGTGATTCCTATACAAGAGGAGCCTTAGTAGGTTATATGATTATGTTTATGGTATAAATTTTTGTGACGATTTCGTAGTGACTTCCACATATTCACGATACATATAATATATATACAAATTATTCACTAAGAATTTAACATCAGAACACTTTAAAACTTTGTATAATTCAGCAGTTCTTACATGTAACATGTAACTTGTTTTATTAACAATTTAGGAAGCAGTTTCGCCTGTAGGAACATATTAGTTAGACTTATTATGTTAACTTTGTTATATAAACTAATACGTAAAATGAAAATAAAGAATTATTTATACTGTACCTGGCTAATGCGAAGCCAAACATTAATACTACTGTCAATGGCAGTAGTTATGGGCACACCTCTTTTAAATAGTTCCCTCCATTGCAATAAAACATCAACAGCTAACAAAATTTTATCGCAGATGTTGAACAAACCTACAAATGAGTTTAAAAGATTATATCTGAATAATAGTTCTGTATTGCATCCAACTAAGCCCCGTATACATACAAGCAATTCGTCATTGACAAGGAAAAGCAGTTTATGGCCGAACACACGAAAAATCGTCCTTGTTGAAAAGCTTGCATGACCAGCTTTTGAACAAGGAAAAGGAAAAATTGTCAAGTTTTTGCTGTATGCACCAGCAAATAAAACTTGTCAAGAAGACTGGGAAAATTTGTTGGCACCAAGTGAGAAAATTTTTAAGATTGCCAGATATTTTTCAAGATTTTTCTCTACTTTTTTCTTTATGCCAAGTCATCATTTTTTCAGTATGACTTATGCTATTTGTGAACGAAAATAAACGTTATGGAAGCTAAAGTTATTATAGCCCCCATTACAAAATATTATGGGAGTTCAGCCTTCCCAAACTTGCCCTCTCTGACTTGCTTCCAACACCCTGACACGAACAGATTTTAGATCAAACAGTGTTCTATTCACCTTGTTCTATAGGCCAAACTTGGTACATGGCTTTGCATTTTGAGTTTGAACATACTTTTACTTTAATTTCAACTTGTTGAAATATACAGCATGGTGTTATAATATATGAAGTATCCTTTACATTTTGACCAGGATGCAATCTAAGGCCAGCAAGATTGCTGTCACAAAGTTTACACAGTTTCACTTGGACAAAACATAGTAGGCCGGTATCTGGTCGTTTCGCCGAGTCGTTTTTCGCCAACGAGTCGTTTCGCCAACGGTCAATTCACCAATGTCTCGGGTCGATTCGCCAACGCTCGTCCACGTTCTTATGTCAGTTCGCCAACGTCGCGTAGTTCATATAAAAGGCGTATTGTGCGACATTGTTACTGATGTTTTTGTATTTTGAAGATTAATTAAACACACAAAATGTCTCGTTGTTTCTAGTAAATACAATCTCCAAACCGAACTCGTAAACAATATATGGATTAATGGTATCCTGTGCTATTAATAGTGTTGCCAACGGCAACGTAATTAGTCACGGCTAGTAACCCCCTTTTGGTGAAGATAGAGTATGCTTGCATGAACATTATTTTCGTGAAAAATACAAAAATATTTCGTTTGCTATTCCTTTTCAGCTACAATGACGGGGGGTTTTTTTTGTTCATATCCTCAATTGCAAGATGACTTTACTCTTCGGAATTTGTTTCTTTTTATATTTTCTAAAATCGTCGGCTGAACAAAAAACACTCCGAACAATAACATCTTGTAAACTCAAAATACAAGTTATTAAAAACAAGATAGCGCAAATAACGGTGATATTTCAACTTTATTCCAAAGTCATTTGGAATAAAGTTGAACACCAAAACTGGAAGATGACGTAAACAGCTGAAAAGTGAATAAGGTAACAAGAGATATATTTACAAGCTAGAGTGATTCTTACGGAAAGACATGCCACTAATCAGACACAGTATAACAACAGTTCTCGGTAAGGATTTTTTCTACCTGAAACATATATCTTGTCTATGTATGACTCTGTGCAACCCAAACAATTAAATTCATTGTCTTTTTTGTCGTTGTTGTTGTTCTCAGTGTTTGGCTAATCTGCGCAAAAACATGCATGCATGCAGCATGAGTCATCGTTGAAAACTACTTCATCCTACGCAGTCCTTTGTCTGTAGTTTGTTTGCGCTGAATAGCACACATCGCATATAAAAAGCGTGAAAAGCCTAAATATTTTCATTCACTTCTCGTTGGCGGCTGCTTCACAACACTACACTTCCAAAACTTGTTCACGATGGCCCATCAAGATTTATGCATTCGCTGCAAGGATCCCGTCCGAGCAAGACAAGAAGGCATTCAGTGCGATGGATGTGACAGATGGCAGCACAGAACCTGCATAGTGGGATTTCTCGACAACAATGCAGAAACGCCATCAGAAATGGGCAGGTTATTGACTGGCATTGTGTCGACTGCATGAACATGAGCACGGGAATTCTTTTGCCACTCGCTGAGAGTTCAAGAGTTGGCCAAGGTAACTATATCTGAGTTATTTAAGAAATAAAAAACATTTTCCGTGTTTCTATACAGAATATAGAAACACGCGTGGTAGTTTGAGAGAACGAGAAATAATCAGCGGGAAAACGAGCTCGTAGGGCGAGTTTTTGCACGTTATTTTGAGTTCTCCCAAACTACCACAAGTGTTTCTATAACTGTGGCGGAAAATGATCGTTTTGCAGAGTTTTGTGGACACTCTATTACATCAGTCACTTGTCATGCCAGCGACAACTAACGACCAAAATCCAAATGGAAACTAGGCTTTAGTTAATATTAGTAAATTTTATAGTAAATATCTTAGTAAACCTTATAGTTAGCCTGCGAACAGGCTCTCAAGCTGAATTGAGAGCCTGCATCGATGACTAATGAATTTGAATATCTGCCCCGTAACGTTCGTTTTTCCAAATATGGAACGTCTATCCTTATATGGTGTTGTTTACAACTTTCGTGCAAACTAAATTTAGACCGTGCAAACTAAATTTAGACCGTACAATTTATACTGTTCTTCGAAATATAAGATATTGAAGCAAAAGTTCAAATGTTTTAAATACTGTTTTCTCAAAACAGAACATTTCGTGCTTTGAGATAAGATGGCCAAGACCAATTTGATCCGTTAATGTGTTTTTTATGCATAGTCCAGCAGTTGACATATGTAGAGCTCAGCGGAAACATATAAATTATAGCATCTGACCAATGAGAATTTCGCGTCACGATTTGAGACGCAGATATTCAAATTCATCAGTCATCGATGCAGGCTCTCAATTCATCTTGAGAGCCTGTTCGCAGGCTACCTTATAGTAAAATTTTAGTACACCTCATAGAAAATTAATTAACTCATTAACGCCCAAGCTGTTACAATGTTTCTACCCCCCTAACGTGCAAGCAATATGGCGAATACGTGACTGAATTCAAGAGCTTTCACCAAAATGGCAATATCTCAGAAACAGTTGCATGAAAAAATCTGGTCTTTTCAACCAAATATTATTAATATATGATTGACCAAATTTAGTTTAAATGAACTTGCATACCTATATATATCATTAGTTTTTTCAATGAGAATTTTTATTTGTAAACCAGTGACACTATTTTTTTCATGTCACTCATCACCTAAAGGGGCAATATCTCCATATATTTATATAAAAACCAAAAAAAAATTATTTACTAAATTAGTACATATCTATATTATAACCAGTTTTCATCTATTGGGATATGAATTAGAAAATGATCAAAAATTATAAAAAATACTCCTTTGCTTTTTTGGGCAAGATGTTTACAACATGAAATTTAGAACAGTAACTAAGTGTTAAAATTCAACAAAGTGTGCAAGCCAAAACACAGTGCTTGTACATCTTTGGAGTTTTTAATTACCTCAAATATATTTAAAAGGACATACGGTACTAGAATCTATTTGTTTTCAATATAAACCAAGGATGGGAAGGTGAGAAAATAGGAATTTTCTGAGGTGTTTTTAACACAGACAATGACAGCCGACATTTTCAAAGGCAAATTGCGGTGACAAAACCAAAAGTTATTCACTTCTCTACTCAAAGCACTGAAAAACACCATAAAGAGAAAAACATTTTAAACATACATCAGGTAAGCCTTTTAGCTCAATTTTCTCATGTTTCTGTTTGGAAAGAAACGGTTTTTAGCCAAAATTATTTTGCGCGCCAATGTAGGCTGCTATAAAATGTCAGACACGCGTTCTCTTTTGAAGTCTGGCTCTGAAAAACAATCGCTTTTTTTTAGTTTGAAATAAGCTTTCATTAGGACTAATTGTGTAGAAATGTTATCTGTATGCTCAAATGAAAAAGATAACCTAATAGTCAGGTATTCAACATAGCTATAAAAGGGTGAAATAAGGACTTTCATCTTTGGTTGTTTGTCAGACATGAGAAACCACATTAGTGCCATTTTGTCGCGCGTGCTATTTTATAAAATAAACACCTCAAAACCATAAACTTTTAGTTCAGAAAATTACAAAGTTTCCCATAGACATTATTAAAAATGTTCTAGTGAAACGATTTCATGATAAATAAGCGAGCAATGGGCCCGAAAGGACGGCTAAATTATGTTTTTGGTGGGACTTCAGTTTCATGGCTTCCCGCAAAGGAAGCCATTTCAGAGAGAAGCGACAACAACGGCAAACAACCGTCGCGACCAAATTTTGATAACTTTTCCTTCTGATTCAACATGTAGTTACTAGAAAATGAGGTTGGATCAACATTACTATCTGCCTTATCGATTTAAAGTTTTATGGGGATATAAAACCCAATACAAAAAGCATTTTAAAAGCATTAGAACTCAAGTGCGGACTTTTTGAGAATTCGCACGCGGCAAGCAAGCGCATTAATTCAATACACTTATTTCAAACCACAATATGTCTGAAACGAGTTGTCATTTTAAGACTAAATTGATGAAAATAGATATAACAGTGATTTTGGAGTACCCTACTTACTTAGTGTAATTTAATACTCGAAGTATTCTTGCCAAATAGGGCACGTACGCACACAGTAATTTAATCTGGTGTCGTTTGAAACATACTTTAGCTAAAATAACAACTTGAACAAGAAGACCAACAATGGGGTTACGAAAACAGTCGAAATTGTGCCCAAATTTGCATAAACAGTTCGTCTAAAAAGATAACTTTAAACTAGATTCAACCAACATTAATGCAGTCGAATTTTGTGAGTGTTTGATCGCATATTTCTACTCAAAAATACCCTTTAAAAAATCGTATCTGCTCACTTGTGTTCCGTGTTCATCTTTCTTGTGATTTCCGACTTCTATTTTTAATAAAGTTTGGAGAAATCCTCATCTTTTTGGCTGAAAATCTCGCGCATGGTTCACAGAAAAACTTGGCCCCAAAACGTCAATACATTCGCTTTCCTTTCATGCCAAATTTTCGTTGTAGTTGATTCAGAAACCTCTTCTTTTCTTGCTTTTAAAACTTGCTGTAAAATCTTTTTTTGTAACAGAATCGCCATTATTCATTATTTTTGGAAAACTAAGATTTTAAACTTGAAAAACTTTGCGAGTTTCTGACCGATTTTCTTGCATGATACACCGTTGAAAAGCTCGAATTTCACGTTCTATTTTCGTATCCGTTGCTAGGCAATCCGATAAACACGTGCTCAAATATCATGCCCGCAAGTTAAGGCGTCATGCCAGGGCGCATTCGGGCGCATTGTCCGTTACCCACTTGTCAATCTCAGGGCGCATACGGGCGCATTGGGCGTTAATGAGTTAAACAAATTCAAAGCTATGATATAGTTGATAAATTGCATGCACAGTGACTTATTATTTGCCACAATAATACCGCTGTGTATATCATCACTTAATTTCACTTTAATATCACCACCTCAAACCAATGAAGGTATAACATTAAAATATTTATTTAAGGTGGCTCCATACAGTTTTCAAAAACTTCAGGTGTCTATAGCTAACAGTTTGACAGTTTTAAACGTCATATTTTTAGGTTTTATACCAGGGCTGCATAAAATATTTTATTTTCTGGGACCACAAAGCCAACAAAAATATTTTCTGCATGCAGAGACTGGGAATCTTATGTTTAAATTTGATAACTAAACAAAATTCAGTGTATTCTATGCACCATTTCATTAGATTTGAAACCAAAATAGGCGTATTTAACCTTGCTAGCAGTGGTTTCTAGCTGAGCTGAGGAGAAACCACTGCGAGCAAACGAATGATCGTTTCATGTAGCTGCCGTCCAGATTCACAGACAAATACATTAAATGAGAAGCTGGTAAATCAAACACCACGGAAAAACGTCTGCGCATGCGTCAACCTTACCTGTAATAGTATTGTGAACTTGATGAGAAGCTGTTCCGAACGTTTCCGAAGGCTCAAAATGGCGGTAAAAAGGAGTGACTTCATTGTGCGTCTTTACAGCCAGATTTCGTGCGCAAAAGTAAACATGTCATTCTAAAAACTAGGAATAAATACAGCCAGAAAGTTCAAGAAATTGTATTGTACAAGAACATGAACTAAAGGTGATTGTTGACAAATTTATCGTCTGAAACATTTTGTTTATCAACTAAGCAACAACAATTTCCGAATTTTCGTTTCAGATACATTTCTTTAAAAAAAACTGTGTCGCCAAATATAAAAAATTTTCGTGTTCACACTATAGGATTTATTAACTTTAGGATTTATTCTACAATTTGAGTGGGTTAAGAAGCTTAACTTTTCGAGAGTTTTCTTAACTTTTTAGTTTGAATTATTGTTTTGAATAATTTTGCAAAACTTTTCGAAGTCGTGTCCGTTAAAATCAACAATTTTTTACATGAATTATATTTCATTCCATACTTTAAATGCCAGGATGCTTTCAATTAATGTCTAGTCTACTCATTTGCTATATTTTCTCGTTTGTTTTACTAATTTTTGACCAATTAATAAGCACGTTTTTGTTTTAGAAATTGATATTCAAATTCCCGCCATATTTTCATAATTTGGTGCATGCACAGTCGTTTTTCTGCGGTGTTGGTAAATCAAGTTTGACAAGTTTTTGTTGTTGTGCGCGTGGGTAACTGCTTGGCACTGCTGGTAAAATGCGAGCCACTTGTACAAAAACAACACGATCATGCTCCTAATATAGCAACCATGCTATAAATATACTACCTTTTACAAAAATATTATAACTTTACAAAATATTGAATAAAATGTTTGAAATTATACATTACAGTTCAATGGTAGTGCTGTCACAACGATCTTTGATCAGTTGACATTTGTAGCGGTTGAGGTCACGACAATCAAAAATTGCAATAATTGTCAAAATCAACAGTAACTGGAAATGTTATTATATTATTTGGAAACTTTGGAAATTGGAATTTATCAAAAACCTTAACACAATCTCCAACGTTTAAGTAACACAAATAAAGTTTGCAGACCGAATTTTAAAAATTGATCGGATAAATACAAAAATTTAAAAAGATATAACAGAAATTCAAATGCACAATTTGTAGCCGTAGGGTGAGACACAGATTTCAAAATATTTTAGTGCTGACAATAACGATATTAAAACCGATACATAAATTCATTTTATTGAACTGCATGTAGAATAAAAGGTCGTTCGATTAAAACTGACAGACAGCAAATAAAACAGTACTTTGCCACGCTTGTTTTATAAATTTTGTAAATAAATATGAGTAAATAAATTTTGTACTTAGGTCTTAAAATGTATATATTACAAACCCTAACATTCTAATATTAATTCCACCAAGTGAAGTGCAAGAATCTAAGTCATTGAAGTCCACCTTATCACAACCTGCACACCCGATTACCTATATACTGTATATACATGAACTTCTGTAGCTCAGTTGGTTAGAGCGCTGCACCGGAAGAGCAGGGCCGTAGGTTCAATTCCTACCAGAGGACTTGTGCTGCATTTTTCGCAGTCGTTCCTGGTTAGGTCTTAAAATGTATATATTCTCACTTGGATTACAAACCCTAACATTCTAATATTAATTCCACCAAGTGAAGTGCAAGAATCTAAGTCATTCAAAACCAGCCTCCCTGTAATGAAATAAAAACCGACCTCCCTGTGATGAAATAAATCTATACATGATATGTGGGTCAAAGACATAATTCCTGGCTAGTAAGATAACAGTATTCGTGCTGTACAGAATACATTAGAATAGAAAAGAATAGAAGATTTCTTTATTTTCCCACGGTGAACTTTAATATCAGGATTTTACACTTAATTAACTAATTAGTAATTACAGGATTTTACAAACAGAAACTAACAATAAATAATTTGGAGCGATTGCAGAATACCCGTCCACTTTTGAAGACCCGCTAGAAATATCGGTGGCTACGTGGCTACGCAGTCCCGGCGGAGTTTTTAAAAGAACGAAGCATTGACATGACATAATCATACTAAAGTATAGATATATTTTTAGTGGCTACGCAGTGAGTTTTTAAAAGAACGACACATTGATATAATGACGTAATTGTAAGGAAGGTATATTTTTTAGTGGCTACGTGGCTACGCAGTGGTATAATTGGGTGTAAAATTACCAAAAGAGAGGTATTTCCGTTATACTTCCTTGATATTGTAATTTGATAGCGCGTGACCGCATAGCCGCGTAGCCACTGGAAATGTAGCTACGCAGTGAAAAATGACTAGTGGACGGGTATTCTACAATTTAGCCAATAATTTTATAGAAATAATTATATAAAAATACAAAATACCTGCTGTCCATAAGTGCCGTACAGTTTATATCATGTCTTTATATACGTTGGCGAATCGACCTGAGACGTTGGCGAATCGACTCGAGACGTTGGCGAACTGACCGTTGGTGAAACGTCCCGTTGGCGAAACAACCATAATTCAATAGGCCATCTCTGTTGCATCGCTTGGCAAAATTGGAGTCCAGAAGAAGGGAAGGGATAAGGGATAGAACAGCTTTGATTTAGTTTTATTGTTAATGCTCTACTGGTTGACATTTCATTATCTTCTTGTTGACATTCAACAGGTTGACTAGGTCCGGAAATGGTTGGCTCTGCAGACATGTTTAGGTGGCAAAACAACAGGTGGAGATGCAGACATAAATGTTTTGTTTTGACCTGTTTTGTTGCTCCGGATTTCTTATTGCAAGCCGTGCAAAAGCAATGCCATACACTATCTGACTTTTGGAGAACATGTGTATAACCAGTAGGTATGCCTGTGTTTGGCTCAGTGTAAATGGCATAGCAAGAATCTGAAAGCTGGACAATGTGGGAAAAATTTTCTGGAGGACAAATGTTCTGGAGGCACACCTTCGTGTTATCATCCGATGGATATGACTTGACCTGATCACAGGTAAGTTTCGTTTGGTAGATAGAAGGAGAAGCAGTTTTAGCCAATTCAATGTGTGGACAAGTGAAATGGGCCGACTCTGGGCTGGCCATAAAAACAGATCGTGCTTCTTTGCACTTCTCATGATGGCATAAGGATAAAATCACCATCAATAACAATAAATAATCAATTCTCTCTGTAATTAGCTTTTACAGAGATAATCTTGGCAACTCCATCTGCTGATGTTGCCACAATAACTGCCGCATCTGGAGACGTTGTTTTCTTTCGTTTGTCCTTTGGCACAAAAGTACCACCAATTTCAAATCTACATCTCTTGCAATTCTTTGGTTTCCATGCAGTGGAATATGACAAGCTACATTGTGGGCAACTTACCTGCCCCCTTGCTGTCCATTTAGGTAGCTTTTCCTGTTAAAATAAAAAGGAAAAGCTCAAACTTCAAAAAAGAACCAAGTCTCTGCTGCTCACCACGGTTCAAAAACCACTAACCAAACTTATGCTTTTAGAATGGCCATATACTGTAGTGGCATCACCAGGGAGGGGACTTAGGGGATGAAAATCCACCCCACTTGTCTCAAAGGTCCATTTTGAGATTTCTCTAAATCCAGTGAGAAATGTGGAGGAGGTGCATGTAATCATGCTATAACTTGAAGGTTTGCCCTGAAAATGTAGTTTAATTATATTGCACACCAAAGACCTTAAAAATATTCTCTAAACTCAAACAAACAAACATGCTACAGTATATCCAAATCTAAAATATTATGTCCAGAAAAATTTTGCACAATTAAAGACCATGTCAAGTCCGTTCTGTGCATCAGTTCTGCTCATAACAAATGGAGAACTACAGAAATAAACATTGCCCAAATATTGCATCTTTCAAACTTTTTTGAATTGAAACATACTCTAGTTTATATTAATTTACAATTGCGAACCAGAAAAGTGTCAGATATTCAGTAATATCTTATTTTAGAAATATAGCAGTTCAAAATGTAAACAAAGGATTTGTTTACATTACAGACTTGACATGGTCTTTAAGTTTTGGAATTGCTGTGTTGGTGTTGTGTACTCAAGTGAATATGATGTTTGTGATGTTACTCTGAGTGTATACCCACACCTGGCAAGCTTGAAAAATACGCCCGGCCACGGTGGAAATCGAACCTACGACCTTTGGAATACTAGCTCAACGCTCTGCCAACTGAGCTACGCTATCATGCAGGTCTGAGGTCGTTTCGAGCATGTGATATTTCAGAATTGATCTGTCTAGTTCCATCTATATCAATGTAATATCACAAACATCATATTCACCTGAGTATGTAACACAACACACAAAGAATCATGATTACAAGAATACATTGATATCGATGGAACAAAACAGATCAGTTTCGAAATATCACATACTCGAACCGACCTGACCACATAGCTCAGTTGGCAGAGCATTGGGCTAGTTTTCCAAAGGTCGTAGGTTCAATTCCCACCATGGCCAGGCATATTTTCAAGCCTGCCCGGTGTGGACATACACTCAGAGTAACATCACACAAGCATCGAATACCAGATTTATTTCGAAACACACGAAATCTGGTATTTCCAAGCACCCATGTATTTTTCTGTCTATTATATAAAGGACAGTCTTTGAAAAGCGATAATTTTACAGAAAAGAGATATTAATTAAATTGACAAGCGATAATTTTCACATGTGAAATTATCATAAATAAATTATCATATAAAATAGTGAGATTCACAAATGAGATTGTCAGTTTTATCAAATCTCTATAATGCACTATACTTTATATAATAAGTAATTATTTTTTATACCACAGAAAGATTGCGTTGGGAAATCTGAATTTTTGATGATATAGCTAGGCTCGCTATTATTAAGCAAAGACTCGCTTACCGTTGAACCAGATGCCATTGCTTGGTCAAGACCACATATTCACCAAGCTTCGCCAACACAAATACACCAAGCTAAATAACTTAAAATATACTTTATTGCAAAACCAAATATACATTAATATACATTTGAATACATGTAAAACAAATATGCTTCTTACCTTTGTAAATAATATGCCTTTCCTCAATCCTCGCCTTTTCTCGAATGACAAAATTCAATTGAACAACACAGAGAAGATTATTAATTCAATTGAGCAACAAAGAGAAGATTATTAATTCAATTGAACAACGCAGAGAAGATTATTAATTCAATTGAACAACACAGAGAAGGTTATTAATTCAATTGCACAATGCAGAGAAGATTAATACTCAAGTCTCAAGACAAGAACGCAGAAAATCTGATCAAGACAAGGACGCAGAAAATCTGACGACGCAATTAAATCGGCAAGAATGTCACATGGCATGCGAAGAAACGGAAATAAACTGACAATCAGTGATCACCGAGTACCAGCCAATCAGAAAGCGGGTTCCGATCAGTACGGGATTACTGTATGAAACATACAAAATAACTACATATGTCCGTTTTTGTGGATAACTGTCACTGTGAAAGCTTTCACCATTCTTCTCCATTCGGTATGCAAATGTCAAGTTATCTGTAGTAGCATCCAGGCCAAATTCGGTTAAATCAACATATTATAACCCTGATAGCCTGCATAGCAGGCGGTACGTAGGAAATACTGCCTGCTGCAAAACTGGGTGTAAATGAACTACCGCCCCTGAAGCATCAAAGCTATTTATAGATGTCATTAAGTAAATATTCAAAATTAGCCACTCCCAAGTTGCTCCCAAGCCCAACTGCCCAACATAAAATAAATTCCTTGATTCTCATCACCACCCGACTGAATTTTAAAATCCTCGTGAAAATGTTTTATATTTTGTTATACAATATAAATGTACCGCCCGAAAAAATAATTCAAGACAGTTTTTATTGCCATTTTAAATTTCCAATTTGAAACAAACAGAATTTTGAATGAAATTTCATTGTATTTTAAAGAAATTCAGTCATTCTGTCATTGTTCGTGGAGATACGAACTATTGATATATAAATTATATAAATATAAAATATAAAAAATAAATCTCCCACTGTCTTTGACATTTCAAAGTGTAGACTGTGTCTAGTGATGAGAATCAAGGAATTTATTTTATGTGTTAATATAAATCAAGTCCGTTTAGCTGCCTTAAAACGGTGGTTTAATAAGCTCAAAATACAAAGCATGCAAGTCTATACTATAGATTCATCATCAGTCAACAACCAAACTGAAAGTTTTGAACCTTATAGAACGATAGTTTTTATTTGTTTACAACTAACATATTCAACGGGTATATAAGAGTTTAACTGTTATTTGATAATTACTGCATCAACCGGCCCCTAGTTCATACTTTGGAGGTTCGTATATCTATCAAGTATCTTTGTTCAGAACATGACAGGCCTATATGAAAATCCCACCATTCGATTCAGTGAAGAAATATCTCCTAATTTCTATCGATAGTTTTAGTAAAATGTCAACATTATTGCGATTTATGGTCTTTGAAAGTCAAGCGAGATCATATATTATCAAATTAATACGCATGTAATTGTCTGAACGAAAATATAGACTAGCCCATACCTTTCGCTGATCATAACTTCAGCCCCTTCGGACGTATCTTCTTTGTTAAATATTCTTGTACAAATCGCTATCAAAAACACTACTTAGAGTGTTATTTTTCAGCTTGTATCTTTAAATTTGCTTCTTTTATTTAATATGGTATTCCATTTCTGGTCTGACTTGACGTGAACTAATTTCAAAACGTCAAAACATTTGGTTAATGATTAACATTTAACCGAATTTAGCCGTTGATTGACAACTACATAAAAATACTAACCAATCTGTTTTTTCCGTTCACCAGCGGACGGGTAATTCAAAACCCCCTAGTTTTGCGGCAGACGGTATTTCCTTTGCTTCCCTAATTTTCGCTGCCCGTAGAAATACCGCCTGTCGTGCAGGCTATAACCCTGATGGAATTTCACTCTTCAATAGTGTGAAGAAAAATATGTTTTCTGTGATCATATTTTTCTTCGCAGATTTGGCAAACAACTGGTCACAGAATGACTTTGCTTTGTCTGGCTGATTGACAAATTTACAAATTTCATGTTTAGCATTTTGAGAACGGGCAACATTTTTTAATATTTGTGGAACTATGCCTTGTGTACCATAAAATTTTCGTTTTAACAATGTTATCAATCTTTCAAAAATGAAGGTTGACATAAAGATCAAGTTTCCATTGTTGAACACCTGCTGGGCTAAATGTCGAAGAGAATGGAGATTGTAAGTGTAATCTGAAGAATAGTAAAGATTTCCCACCAGTCGAATGTATGAATCAAGAAGAGCTTCAGCAAGCTGTCTATCTTGTTCTAAAATAGTATCATCAGTTAAAAGCTTGATTCCTGTTACAAAGAGGGCATGGTGGTAAAAATGTTCACTGGGTAGAAATTTTCACAAGATGAGAAGGCCTACATGGAGGAGCATGATCTCTTTCTCATGAGCTTTTCATTTACCTAGATCACATATTGATCGCATTTTCTGGGGAAAATCATGGGGGAGTTTAACATTTAAGGTCAATTTCTCAAACTTGGTAACCACATTCTTTAAACAAAACATGTCTTGATGTTTCGATGTTACAAACCAACACTTGAGTTTTCTAAAGAACTCACCCTCTAAAACTTGATGAAGGTAATCAAGCAAACGTTTTTCAGGAATATATGGATAATGTCTTAATAGTGGATTTCCTTCATCTGCTGCACCAGGGTCAAGACAAACTGGACAACCAAACTTTCTGTTAAACTGCTTAAAGTTTGCTGATGCTGCCTTTGTTGGAAGATCAGCAAGTTGACCCTGAAGAATCCTCAATCTACAGGCAATAATGTGGTCAGCCAAGTCTATTGTGAATCCAGTCATGAGCATTTTGACCTGTTGAACAAATCTTTCTTGAAACAAGACAAAATCAGGTTTTTGTTTCCCATGCCAAAGTCCATAAAATAATATGTTGTAAAAAGAATAGTGAATGACCTTGGGTCTATTGCAAATATTATGTAAATTTTGTCTCTTATTATTACATGCATACCCACCAATATTATAGTATTTGTAGCATGTGTGTACAGGTGCACAATCCAATACAGTCTACAACAGCCATAATACTATATCTAGATAAAATAGAATATATTTATGATTTATCTTAAGGCTGTACAAACAATTTTTGTTCTCTCTCGAACGTACTTCGGGATGTAAGATTCCGCACCAAAATTTTGTGCGAGGAAGAAGCTTTTGTTGTTTACAACACTCGATAAGTCTTTAATAGAACACTTCGGTACACCATCTATTGGCTTCTTTAAATCAGCTTCAATATCTTTAAGATATTGTCGATGGTCTTTCTCCAGCCTTTGCGGTTTCATAAGTACTAACAGACATGGCTAGTATTATATTTCACAACTTCTGATTAATTTTCCCTTCGATGAACCCTGTGGATTGAACTTTTGCAATCAAACATTTCCATACACTATTAAAGCCTGAATGGTATGCTCGATCAAAAAATTCCAACCAATGGGAATTCAAGATTTTTTGAATTAGCCAATTGGATAGCCTGTATTTGAGCCCCTGATCGCTTCATCAATCAGAACTCCCTACAGATTGCGCAAAAATCAAGATAGCCAATCAGATGGCTGGAATCTGACTCGGAGCGTGCAAAATTCATGAATAGGACCGCTTTTCTGCACGTTCATGTTTGAAGGCCTCACTGCTGCATGATATTTTAGAACTGGACTGTTAAACTTTCAATATGATACACTGCACAAAGTTTGATAACTGGAGTGCTATTTTAATTTACCAATTTTCTGGCCAATTTTTACCTTAGTCGTGTGATCACTCTGATCACCCCTAGATCCGCCCCTGCTTTGTAACTGTGGTAATATATCAATGATAGCAAATTCTAGAGGTTGAACTTCTTGGTGAAAAATCTGACAGTCATCATTGCTGCAAACTGGATTATTAATAATAATAATAGGATGTTAGGGTTTGTAATCCAAGTGAGAATATATACATTTTAACGACTGCGAAAAATGCAGTACAAGGCCTCTGGTAGGAATTGAACCTATGGCCCTGTGATTCCGGTGCAGCGCTCTAACCAACTGAGCTACAGAGGCCAGCTGTTGAGCTGTAACCGTAAGTTCATGTGTATAACCCGCACACCCGATAACCTTTATCACAACCCACACACCCGATTACCTATACAGGGTGTATCAAAAAAAAGGTAATCGAACTTCAGCACGAATGTGTCGTAGCGTAGCTAAGATTTATTCCTACTTAATAATAATTATGAATATGTGTGCAGTTTAATGAAGTGAAATTCATCAACTTAAGTCCCAAAGGGAATTCATTTTCAATGGTTTTAGACCTAACTCTCAACGGTGAAAATATGCGATTCTGATTAAGATTTTTTATCGGATTCGTATTTGCTCATTTTTTATCCATTTGGCATGAAGAAGATATCATTCAACAGCTAAAAGCATGATCTTTCCGAATGTGAAAAAATCTCGTTCATACGCAGAGTAATTCTGATACAATAGCGCGCTGAAGTTCGATGACCTTTTTCTTGATACACCCTGTATATATATATATACATGAACTTACAGTTACAGCTCAACAGCTGGCCTCTGTAGCTCAGTTGGTTAGAGCGCTGCACCAGAATCGCAGTAGGTCGTAGGTTCAATTCCTACCAGAGGACCTTGTGCTGCATTTTTCGCAGTCTACATATCCAGAATCACATAATGCTCGAGCCCAATCTGCAAATCCTTTATTATACCTTTCCTTCATTGAGGAGGGATTGTTAGATCTTTCCTTGATATATATATTTGTATGTGTCTTCTTGTAGTGGACCGTACATTGGATCTGTTTCATTTCAGATCCAAAACCGGTGTCACAGGAGACTCCCCCCCCAGGAGATTCGCCCCCTCTCAAAAAGGGGGTGATATTCCTAGGATATCCCCCCCCCCAACCCAGGTGAATCTTCTAGGAATATCACCCCCTATATGAATTCCACCCCCCCCCCATATAAATTTTGAATTTTTTATATCAAAACAAAGCGATTGCAAGTTGAAAAGATTTATAGTGTGATTTATTTATTTATTATTTATTAGAATTTACATACACATTTTAGGCTTCTTAGCAGCCGGTGGTGTGCACAGTCTGCATAACCACTCATTTGAGGTACTTAGACTAGTGTCACATTCTACACATTTAAAGTGGAACCATTGCCCACAGAGATCACATAAAATCATGTTGTCATATTCTTCTGGCAGTTTACATTCACATAACATATTATAAAAACAATTGCTTGCAAATTTTATCAATACCAGTGTTAACAATAGCTGCCACAGTAATCACTTGCTAACAATAAACTATAGGATTAATAAAAATCTATGGAATGTGTTGGGAAGCATATTGATTGTCCGTTGAATCATCAACTTCCCATGTCAGTGATCTAATCTTGATTCTTGACTTCCACAAAGAAAATGGAATTATATATGTGGTGTGGTTTATTCAAATCATTTTATGATTCTTTGATTTTATTAGTGCCTTAAACATTTGAGAATGTAACTCTGCAAAACTAAAAGCTTTTTTGAAACATATATTATTGGAGTATTGCCTATTGGCAAGTTCTACCCCTTGCTTCTGAGATTTAAAAACTATATTGAAATAATGCAAGTGAAAATCATGACGTTCCCTGCTTTTTTCAGGTTGGAAACCGAAACCCTGCTTTTCTGCCGACCATAAGCAATTCCTTGCCGATCATTGATCGGTTCTTATTTCAAGCTCTGTTTTAACAATTTTGAATTGATACTGATTTCAAATGATTAAAGCCATGTAATAATTATCCCATGCAACTGTTAGGAAAGGTGAAATTTTGAATGGAGGACGAAAATCCTAAAGAAAAGGGGAAGTTTCTAAAGGGGGGCGAATTTCCTAAAGGGGGGAAAATTCCTAGGGTTTCCCCCCCCCCATGCTTTATAAACATCTGTGCTCCACCTAGTGTGTTTGATAGTATTCTGAGGTGTTCTGTTATCTAACTTTCTGAACGTCTGCTTCCATAACAAACGAGAAGCGTTTATCCGCCATATTATTAGTGAGTGTCCAAAAACAAGACTTGAGTTGAGTTAAAAAGTAACTCATATTATATGCATGCACATGCACCTGGCACTTACACATGTATATTAAGAATTGTTTATTCCCAAACGAATTTCTGACAATGGAAAATTGTTGTATACATCATTGATCATGCATTGCACATAATACTAGTACTATCAATTAATTTTGTACAATGTAAACACTAGCCTCACCTCGGTGATCATGGTATTACAAACTAATACCATGTTTTTAAGAATATAGTGATTAAATCTCCTGTGAACTGAGGAGGTTTGTGAAAGTCCCTCGGGACGCCTTCGGGCTTCGCTCGCAGGCTTTTCCTTGGGACTTTCACAAACCTCCCTCGGTTTGCAGGAGATTTAATCACCATATTCTTAAAAACCATGGTATTAAGTGGTTTAATCACGATAAGGTGGTGGTTTAATCACGATATTCCTGGCTTAGCGGGGAGATATCTAATTCTCTCGGCAAAGCCGGGCAGATTTCTAATTTCTCCTTGATTATTATTGGTTTATTTGCCCCCAAAAAAGAAAGACTGTTAGCTATTTACAAGATATTAATAAAATAAAGTCGGCGAGGAGACCTCAAGAAGCTTAGAGCTTGTGTAAAGAGACCACTTGTATTTGTAGGTAAAGAATTCCAAATATTCAGTCCTGAGTATACGATGGTGAACTGCTTAATATTAGTTCGACAAGCACGAGATCTATAGTTACAGGCAGATCTGGTGTTATAATCATGTATTTGATTGTTTATTGTAAACAGTTCATCAAAGCATGTTGGCAACATGCAATAATGATATAAAAACATAAACTTTCCAATGTGAAACATATTCAACTTAAATATATCCAATATTTTGAGTTGTTTCAAAAGTGGATCCGAGTGTGCATGGTATTCGGAATTTGTAAGAATATGTCCAGTTCGTTTTTGTAAAAGGAGAATCCTATTGAGGTTGGTTACATATGTGGAAGACCATACAATATTACAATAAGTAACATAGGGATATATAAGTGTGTAGTCCCCGAGCCGACGGCGCGAAGCGCCGTGCGAGGGTACTAATTCCCCCCGGCTATTTACACCCGGGAAAACGAAAGCATTAGCGGAGTCTAAAGTTCATCAAATATCGTGGGCGTAGGTCACCAACGGTGTTGGGTGGGTGGTCATCCTCACTGACCTCAAATATATGGCGCGGACTGTCATGAATAGCGGACACTGATTGGTTCTATTTAAAGTTTGCATTATAACGACTGCATGACGACAGCGAAATAGCGTTTATTTCTTGATTTGAATATTTGATGATTCATGATTGATAAATTTCTTGCGAATATATTTCATTTTTGCTCGCATTTTTGCAATATTTTGTAAATTTCAAAAGCTCTCTCCGAAAGAAACTTCGAAAGAATCACCTAAAAGAAGGAAGCCAACGTTAACGAACGTAAGTTTGTTTTAAATATTGATTTTATAATGGCTTTAAAAACCGACGGCGTTTGCGTATACGAAAGAACTAAACAAGACAGAATATAATTTCGCCCAGTGTATCTTTAATATTGATTCACTTTTTTATTATATTGAATTTTTTAAATAAATAAAAAAGAAAGCAAAGTTATTTGCAAGTGAGAATTTGAAATCATTTTACTGCAAACTCAAAGTTTATCGATAAAGCCATTTAATATTAAAGGCAGTTTAGTTAAACAGCACTTTAAAACATTTTGCGAAGCGTTTGTGGTTGAATTTTACCTTATATTGAGGCTTATATTACGTATAATAACATACCTAACATATATATGTTGGGAAATTAATAATTTTGTAATTAAAAGTGATGTTTTTAGACGATTTTTCATTTGTAAGAATATTCTTAAAGAATTATCGTGTTACCATGACAACTACTTTAGAACTTCATGTTCGGAAAATACAATGGTTTTGTCAGCAAGGCGAGGGTTTCTGCATGCATGTATTTTCTAGTACAAGGATAATCTTGTTGCGGATGACACTAGATATCATGATCGGTAAATAATTCCAACAGACTTGGCGATTGTATTGCAAATATAATTAATATGTTCCTTCCATGACAAATGTTCGTCTATATATACTCCTAAAAATGTTATATTGTTTTTGGGTGATTATTTGATTGTTATATTGGCTAACTAGCTTTAAATTAATTTTCTTTTGTCTTGGCCAAAAAATGATATAGTTTGTTTTACTGATGTTCACAGACAATTTATTTGACTTCATCCAGATATCCAGCTATCGAAGTTCACTGTTCAAAACAAATTCAAGTTGCTTGATATCCGAATTTGAATAATATATACTAGTGTCATCAGCAAAAAGATAAGATTTTGACAGATTTTGCATTCGGTAGATCATTGATATATAAAATAAAAAATAATGGGGCTAAAATAGAACCTTGCGGAACTCCACATTTTAATTTTTCCATGGAGGAACAGGTTTCATTATATTGAACAAATTGTTCACGATTGCAGAAATAGCTCTTGATCCATTGGAGTGCAACGCCTCTTATACCATAATGTTGTAATTTAGTAAATAATATTTCATGATCTAAAGTATCAAAAGTCTTTGAAAGATCAATGAACACTCCAGCAGCTATCTGGTTCTGATCGATGGCTGTGGCAACGTTATTTATTAGAGAAACAAGTTAATGCATAGTAGAATGGTTACTGCGAAAACCAAACTGAAATCTATACAAAATTTCACATTGCTCAATGAATGATGTTAACCTGATTTGCATAACTTTTTCAAATAACTTTGAAAAGTTTGTCAGGAGTGATATAGGTCTATAGTTTGTAAAGAAACTTTGATTTCCAGTTTTAAAAATTGGTATAATTTTAGCGATCTTTAGTTTACTTGGAAAGAACCCTTTGGACAAAGAGAGATTCATAACATTAACAAGAGGTTCTACTATTAGGTCAATAGATTTTTTGATTACATACATGGATAGATTATCATAACCAGGAGCTTTAGCTGTTTTAAAAGAGTTACAGATTTCCAAAAGCTCAATTACATTTGTTGGATGAAGTGAAATAGATTCTTCACTATTTTAATTTAGGAAAGAAAGAAAAGAGTTTGAAGTCTCAGGAATCTTACTTGCAAGATCAGGGCCAATGTTAGTAAAATATTTGCAAAACCTGTTAGCAATGTCTTTAGGATCAGAGAGAAGGGTATTATTTGATATAAACGAGGAAGGCAGTGAGGTTTTTGTTCTACGTTTATTCATTACTTCGTTTATTAGCTTCCAAGTTGTTTTGTGATCGTTTTTAGTAGTTTCAAATTTATTCTCATAATATGTTTTCTTAGTAATCTTAATCAAATGAGTAAGCTTGTTTTTGTATTTCTTGTATTGTCTTTCTTTGACAGGACTTTGTGAAATAATGAACTTTTATAGAGTTTATTCTTTTTCCTAACACAGGTTAACCCATTGAGTGGCGATGCACCCTACTTTAGTATTTTACTCTGTCTAACACCAGACGATTTTACTCATCAAAGGGAGAGCGCTGGTGCTTAATGGGTTAATAGCCCTTTTGTCATCCAAGGTGTTAATGGTTTGTTCGAGTTTTTTGCTCTGACTGG